CCTGCCAGACCATGACAAGCCAGTGCCTACAGCCTCGGCAGTTCATTTCTGATTGAGCTCTGTGACAGCTGGGCTTCATACCAGTGGAGCAAAACTGCGAGCTGGCAGGAGCACGTTGGGCTTTATAGATAACGCTTGGAGAAACATTTGCCACATGGCATTTAACTCATCTGAAGTTATCTATGTGTGCGTGTATTGACTGTGGAGTAGACCCAAATGAGCATGGAGTTGAACCAGGGATGTTGTGGTGCAGGGTCTGCTGTGGGCATGAACCTGAAAAAATCAACAGCAAACACAGGGGCTTGCTGCCTCCGAAATGCAGAGCCGGACACTGGGCTGTTTCAGAAAACCATGCAGACTTCGGTACTTAGAAGACGATCATCTTTCACGAGCACACAAGAGTAGTTCTTTAATGAAATGTGATTAAGAAATTTGCATTTTAAAATCAATTTGCATGCAAAGTATGGTTGACTGTATGTATCGGATCAATTTTTTCAGAATACAGAGTTTCAAATGCATTTGTTGCCTCTGTTGCACCGTGGCCAAGGTGGAGCAAGAACCTGGAGTTCAGTGTATTGCTGTCACGGAAACTGATAGCCCAATGCGACTGTGCAGTGTAGATTGGGCAGGATAACTTGCAGACCTAGTACAGTCATCCATACAGCAAACAATATTGGAAATTAAAGGTCAGAGAATTGATAGCAAGGCTTAAGAAAACAGCAATTAGGCATCTAGGAAGAAAAGCTAAATTACCAGTAGTAGGAGTAGGGGGAAAAAAAAAAAAAAAAGAGGATTATTGATCTAAATATCAAGTTGGCAGATACACAGAGTACAATCTAGAGGTTTTTTACACCTCTGGGCTTATTCAACCCCCACAATAAAAAATGCAGGCCTATAAAGATGGAATAAGAAGCAATCAATTAGGTTGGCATTTGCTTGTTTCCGTGCTGCAGCTGGGCAGGCACATCACAATTAATGATTTATTAGGAGATTTTCGCCTTTTTTTCCATTTTACACAGATTGCTGCAACCAGACTGCAGTGGCTTATTAATTTGCGTGCTATTCAAGCATCTTTGTTAAATATCATGTGGAAAAGGTAAACATTTGGCTCACAAGCCAACACTTCAATGGGAGTATATCACAGTTTATGTAGGCAAATGCAGCCTGGCATGCAGCTCTGGGCATTGGGTTCCCCAGCTGCACCTTGTGAAGGTCCCTCAGGTCCCCAGGGTTTGCTGTGTTATGGGGTGGCCCAGCAGCAGAAGGCAGGAAGAGATGGACACCCCATGCCACATGCCCACGTGTGCTTGTGCCCTCTCATTTGGGCTTCTCTCTACCTAGGGGACCCAGAGAGAAGTAACACTTTGTGGTAATTTTAGCTGTCCAGGAAAGGGTTCAGAATCTTATATGAGAATGAAGATGCCCTTATTCTTCTAAGTGAATCCATAGCTATAGATGACAAAACACTCTATGCCTCTGGGCAATCCAGATTTCATAACATGCGTCTGCCTATGGCAAATTTTGTGTCGTCATTAGCAAACACAACAAAAAAATCTTTCTCACAGCTGCTCATATGGACAAGTCATTGCTTTCACAGCTTTTTATCAAAAACAGCTAGGAAAAGATCTGAACATTGGAAAAAAAGGAATTCCCTTTAGAAGAAAACCTGAATTATCTCTGTATTCGTCCATCTCAATTCAACACCTTCCTAGGAGTGGCTGCAGTGAGCTAATTGGTTTTATTCTGCTGTGCGTGGCTTCACAACCCAGGCTCCAGATTTATAGCACATAGTTGAGTCACTGTGTGAATTCATCATTTGTCCCCCCACATCAATCCCTGTCTCTTCCCAAGTGATACTGGTCTGCGTGTTTATGTGCTGTCAAACACTGCATGAGACAAAAGACAAACTCAGGAATTAAACAATTTTAGTAGAATCTGATGCAACCAGAATATCAGAATGAATTATTACCATTTCAGCAAGACATGAGTTCAGACAGGCCAGCTCTACAGGAATGAGAGAGACTTTTGCCAGCATATACTTTTATGGTAAAAGGGACAAAAAAGACCCTACAGAATTTAAGAGTTTAAAAGCATACCAAGCTCAGAACAAATTCTTATCTCAGAAGGGAAACAGAGTGTGTAACAATCAGCCATAGAAATCCTTGCGAATGGTCTTTAAAAAAGCACTCTGGAAATTAAGGACTTCAAATGCAACAATTGAAAGTGAAGCCAAATGAATTACAGGGGAATACGGGTAAATGCTACAAGTATAGGTCAAGTGGTGTTTTATCAATCTTGTGTTTACTCCAGCAGCTCCTGCGTTGCCCATTGTTTTACCTTGTTTGAATAGATATGCTTCTCTTTATTTAAAATCAATTGTAATCTTATGAAAGAAAACTTACAGCAGAGGGAATGCTGTAAAGCAGCACAGTGAAAGATGGCATTGTTCATTATCCTAAATTACTCCAGGGTAGGGAGGGAATGATATTAAAGAAGTGTGGGTAGCTCTGAGCTGCCATCCTTCCTTTAGCAAATGTAATTTAATGTCATTATTTAATTTTATTAACAGTAAAGACAATTGTGGACAATGCATGTTACAGCATTTACTTACACTAATGATAGTGGGGGAGTGTTAGCAGGAGGAAAGATGGGTTACGTTTTGGATTCCCAGTAGCTGATGATGATAGATGATAAAAATTTGTTCTCTTCTTTGTGGTGCGTCTCCCCAGTATTTGCTTCTTGACCTGCACAGCTTTGGATGGGTCTTTTGATTCTAGAGTAGGTATTGTTGTCATCAGAAAAATATTTGGCTTTATAAGCATAATAGACAATATTTACCCTTAGCGCTGAATAGAACTAAAATAACTAATGCCTAGTAGGCATTGCAACTGGATCAGCTCCTGGATTCCTCAGTATATGCAGAGCATTTTCATCTTTACACTAATGGAAAAGCTTTATAGAGGGCTATGATCTTCCTCTAGACTTTATATTGGGATGTCCTTGTGTACTTATAATTTTTTTTGTACCTCCTATATTTAAAATATGCCTTTACTACATTGCTACAGGCCAAAAACAGGTATTGTGATGGCTTTTACAAAAAGCTTCTCTAAAGTCTGGTGGCAATTGTGTGGTATTTTTCCAGTTGACTCAAACTCATTGGTGACACCTGGATTATGATCTACTACAGGTGTTCAGCAGCCTGCAATTCTGGTCCTCTTAAGTGTCTTAGAGCTTTTAGCTTGCTCTTAATGAATTAATCCTGTTTGGTTCTGCAAGGTGTAAGCCCAGTAGTGGTGGACAAAGAACTGTGGACTAAAGTCAGAGATTTGAGATAGATGTATAAAGCACAAAAATCTTTTGAAATTGCAACAAATATGATGCCTTGATGTTAGCAGTGCCACCATCTCCTAGAAGAGGCTGGAGGCTCATCAGCTTGTCGTTGCTGGCATGCCATACAACATAAAATTCATGTAATAGGCAATAACTAGTGTGGATTTAGTAAGAGACAATCCTACTTAACTAATCTCCTTGAGTTCTGTTGAGCAGGATTCAGAAAAAAAAATGGTAATAGGAGTGTACATCTGACATAATCTAATGGATTTTTCAAAAGGCTTTTGATAAATTTCCATATAAATTTTCCCCTGCTTAAGCTGTGTGCCGCAGAGATTCCAAATTGGGCACGAGAATGGGTAAAGAACCCGTGAAATCATGGGAAATGAAGAGACAAGAAGAACTGTAGCATGTGCTGGAACTAGAATTATCTCGCAGCTTCCCACTGTTCTTCCCCACCACTCAGCATGGCTGGAAAGAGATGCCATCTGCATTCACTAACAAAAACTTGTTTAGGACAGGTGCATACCAGAGAAGAGGGCAAAATGCCATTCAAGATACCACTAAAGGGCAAATTTAAATCTACATTAACATAGGGCAGATTGAGTATTTTTCCTGGCAGAAGTGCAATAATGTATACTAAATATAAGCACACATAGCTGAAGGACTCCAAAGGATGGGTATGGGTTAGTACTGGAAAGGGACTCTTGTGCTAACAAAGGAATGATTTATTATCATTTACATAACCTGGCATTTGTGCACACCAAAGGCCAGATTTTCAAAATGCTCTGCTCCTGCAGTTTGGGGCCAGGCTTTCAGTTGCAGACTCCGAGCCAGCCGTTCCCATCGTTTCCCCAGTGTTTAATTTGCCATATGTCAATCAGAGTGTTGATTTGCAAGTGCTGATAATAGGCAATGTTGAGGGATGAGCACATTTGAAAATTTGGGAATGTGTCTTACTGGCAGCTTCTGAGCCCCAAACACTGGAAGTATTCGCAGAGCAGGATCCCTGATCAGCCATATGATAAATCAAGGACTGGAAAGCAGAAAAGAATGCAGCTAATGCATCAGGATATGCCTGAGCTGGACATGCTCCATGAAAATCAGTGCTAAATGAGAGAATTAAGCACCGGGAAAGGCTGTGGCAAAATCACAAGAAACACTTTAAATAATGAGACAAAAATCAAATCAAGTACAAGAAAGAAAGAAAATGAAATAAAATCGCTGAAAAAGCAAATGCCATGACGGGAATCTGAGTGAGGCAAAATACCTTGTTTTAAAGGGACATAGTCATCATAGAAACAGCACATTTTAGTCTGCCATTTTACCCTCTAATGAGAATTAACTCTCCAATTGCTGTAAATGAATGAGTGTCAGGAACATTTTCGTTTTGCTTCAAGCATTTGCTAAAATGTGGGCAGTGGCTGGGTGATAGCGGGTTTGTTCTCCTTTGGGCTAAAAAGTGAGGCTAGAATTAAAAAGGTTTGGAAAAATATTCAAAGAAAAACAGTATGCAAAGCAGAGGTGAGAAAGGAACATGTCGCTCACAGCATGCACCTGTGGTCCTCTTCATGGGACTGATGTCCTTGTTGGTGTGCTGGTTAAGGGGATGTAGCCACGAGGACCAACAAAAAGATCCCACTGTGACCGCTCCTGTCTTTTATTTGCAGTATTCAGGGGAAGTTCCTGAGAACAGAGTGGAGGTTGTGGTTGCAAATTTGACGGTGATGGACCGGGACCAGCCTCACTCCCCCAACTGGAATGCCATCTACCGCATCATCAGCGGGGACCCCTCTGGGCACTTCACCATCCGGACAGACCCTGTCACCAACGAAGGCATGGTAACCGTCGTAAAGGTAAGTGGGAAGCCAAAGCAAAGATGTATTTGTCACCTTTTAAGCTCACTAAGGCCAAAAGGACTGCCAGAGGCCTGCTGTTATTTCATGCCTTCCCTACCTGGGAGTACAAGTGCTTCAAGCTGTTGTTTACCCACTCTCTCTGTGCAGTTGTCCTGAATATTTTTGTTTTGAGTTATGCCAATGATTCTGGGTTTCTCCCACCATAAGCCTTCATAAACTCTCACGTGCCAAAGGCAACTGCCAGCATCAGAGCCTGACCTGCTCCTTTTTGAGCTCTGGAAGCGGGACTGGTGCCTGGACTGTCCAGTCCTGCCCTGCTTGGCAGTTCGAGGCAGAAGCTGTGATTCTCCTTTCTGAGCCAGAAATTTGCCAGCTACCTGTGAAGCAGTGGGTAGCACTTCACTGTAGGGGATCAGCCAACTGATCTGCAGGGAGTACAGAAGGCATTTCAGAAGGAGAGAATTTCTTGGTAACAGAAGGGAAGAAGAGAGAAGATTTTCCTCTGAGCTATTCAGAAAAAAAAAATTAAAAGATGGAGAAATGTTCCTTTCCTAGTATCAAGCAATAAACACACAGTGTGGACCACATCCTCAGTGAAGGCTGCTCCACACGTTAGATCATCAGAGAATCTTGTCCAAAGGCTCTGAGAAATAAGACTGTAAATATTCTCTACCCCTTCTTTCCTCCATCCATTGCCTTCCACATTAGGAGATCACAGACCCTCCAGGTATTTCCACAAGTATCAAATTCAGTTTCTTTTCTTGCCTCCAGAGAACATGCCTTTATCATCATTTGAGAGTTTGCTCCCCACTCGGTTACTGAGACCAGCAGCCCAGGCAATGAATGCTTCTGCAGTAATTACACGCAGTCAGAAACTAACCAGGTTCATTCAGCATTCCCTGAATCTCTTCCCAGATAAGATGCCTATGGATGCTCCCACTGACTACCAAGAAAGTGAAGGTATCATGAATAGGCTGCTGTGATCAGTAGGGCCTTGCACTGCACGTGCCGTGCGCTGCTCCCGAAATGGATAATACATGCTGGGATGGACAAAGCCTTTATCTTCTGACAGGCCTGGCCTTATCTAACAAGAAGTTGTAATCAACTACTTAGGATGGAACGCTGGTGTTTAGAGAGCAACCTGATCAAAGAATACCTCCGTGTTGAAAAAAAGGAGCCCCACTCCCTTGTGGCTAATAAGTTGCAGTCATTCTTATTTCTTACAGTTCGGATATGAGAAAAAATGACACCAGGGAAATGCCAGTGAGGTTACACTGGTGGGAACGTGTGAGCTTGTGAGTTTGTCCTGCTCCCTGGCCCCTAAGCTATGCGTGTGTGTCTGCAGATGCCACTTTGCTGAAACTTTAAGGAAGACATCATCTTACCTGCTAGATGATATTTCAGCAGGGTTCCTGTATTTATCACTCTTTATTGCTCTGTAATGACATTTGACAGCCTTATCTGATGCAATGTTATAAAACATCTTCAGGCCTAGCAGTATTTCTGGACATGCATGTGTATGGATGCATTTATGCATCTAAGTATGCACTTATCCATATGTATGTATTTTCTGCTTAAACAGAAAACATTCAACAAAGTAAAATGGAACAATTTAACTTTTGTTGACATCAGCAGCCAGTCTGAAATCAAAATGCCAACACTATGACTGAAAGCAGGGGAGGACTCCTTAGACTTAATCTAGTAAAGTGTCACAACTGTAGTTTAAAGCCACATCAAAGTGAAGAACAGGGGATTTACAAGATCATCTCTGCCACACAAGAACTTTTGCATAATGAACCGTCCCTTATTCAGAACTTGCAAGCAGAAAGCCGGGCAGATTTGTCAAGGCACCACTGATGCTGGTGTTGACTTTCCACTGCTGTGTAACCCACAGTGATCACAATGCAAAGAACCACCCGAAAATCCCATCTTGTCAAGCTGAGCTCAGAGCTTGAAATTGCGTTGAATGTCTTTACTGTATAACCTCACCTTATCCCCCTGGCTGCCCGGAGTTTCTTCCCCTTATCAAGCTGAGAGGTTTTTTGGTGTATTTTCAGCAAGGAGAATAAGTGAAAATGCTTATGATTAAATTTTCATGGTGAAGAAGGGAAGACTCTTAGGATTCCACCTTCTTCTTTGAAATATTTTGTTCTCCGTTAATAAGTGAATATGCTTAAAGGTTAGGGGAATGTATGCACACCAAACTGGGTGGCCAGCCAGAGCTTGTTCTTCGTGGCATGGGAGCAGTCTCTTGCTGTTTTCATCCCTGGTATAGGCTGAAAACATAGGTAACAACACAGTTCCCACAACTGCAAGCAAAGGGGTTTGTGTCTAGGCTGCAGCAGTGGCAGACACAGTGCAGAGAAGGGCATGTTGTGGAAAACCCCACTCCTCTAGCAGCAGTTTGGGGCCAGAAATACTTCCAGACCGAGAAGCCCTTTGGAGTTCACACGATGCTCATGATGGCCATTTTGCAGCTTCTCTTAGCAAAACCTCATCTGCTGCTCTAGCCCAATCACTGAAAGCACAGCATTTCCTTTTTCTGTTCATGCCTTTTCTAAACCATTTCCATATCTGTGCAAGACCCTAATCTTCAAAGAAAGCCTTGATCAAGGAGAGAGTAACTTCGCACACAGCTGAGACATCGCAGAGTCTGGAAACAATCTCCAAGAGCAGCAGTGGCTGCCCTGTGGCAGCCAGCTGAGTAAAATGTTATTATAAACTCTGCATGGATCAGAGCTGTGAATTTATAATGGAGATGCTTCCAAAGCTTCAGTTATTATTTGCTTCAACAATAACATAAGGCAAATTTGTTCCCTTTAGTTAAAAGTACCTTGAGTAAAGGAAGACACGTGGCAAGCCCTCAGCTTGACTCTGCTGCATCTGGTTAGGAGATGGGCGTGAAGGAGGGGAATTACAGGCAAATGTTGCAGAAAAAAGAAAAGATGTGAAACGGGACCCTACTGGGCACAGCAGGGAGGGAGGCAGATGTGCTGTCCCATGCAGACAAGTGTCAGACACTGTGCCACCATGGGCCACCATGGGGTACAGATGCCTCCACAACAAGTCAGTGGGGTGGGTGTTATGGGGTCAATCCAGTCCCTGTGCTGCATTTCTGCATCCCTGGTTTGGGACTTCCTGGCAAAGAGGCAAAAGAGGCTGCTCGGATCAGCCCCAGGGTGCTGCCCAGCCCACCCCAGCCAAGCCCCTGCAGGGACTGGGTACAGGCTGTGGGCAAGGTTAGCAAACAGGCCAGCACACGGAAAAAAAAATATATATATATAAAAAATGGGGGAATATAAATTAGAGGCGCATGAAAGACATTGAGGAAATGTGTTAGTCAAATTGTTTCAAGGCCGTGAATAGTGTTTAAATGGGAACTTTTACCATGCATCTTTTTTGAATGCGGTAGAAGTCCATGAGTCAGTGCTGGTGGGTGTATTGGGAATCTTTATGCTTCCTTTTATTTATTAAATGTTGGCCCTGCCTGTCAGGAAACCGTTTAGCAATAGGAGCATTTGCACTTCAATTGAATAGAGATTCCACTGTTTTACCTTTTGCCCCTGAAATTTGTTTCTCTCTTGTAGCCTCCTATGATTTGATTTCTCTCCTGACAATACTGTATTTTAAACAGAACAGGGAAGCCAGCTCTTGCTGATGTAAATCAGGATAGCATTACCAAAGTCAGTGTAGCTATGGCGTTTTACACCAGTGAGGGTACGCCTTGCAGACTCAGCACTGAGGAGATGTTACGCTTCTAAATTCATAAATTACAGCAAAGCATTTTTTAAGAAGCAGAGGTGTGATCCCGCATAACTCAAGCATCCCTGGCAGATGATTAGTGACTTCCCTCATAATAATTAGTGGGATGGGTTAGAAATTATTATTATACTGCAGTTCAGTCAGTCGTGCCAGCAAAGGCTTTTCACTCCTCCTGGCTCCTAAGGCACATCACCTTTATGTGCGTTTTGAAAGAGATCTGTGGCCACCCAACAAGTGTGTAAGCATGCAGGAAACATCCAGAGATCACAAGGCAAAAGGACGAGAGGTCCCACTGGAGGGGCCACCTGAGCAGCAGGACCAAGCATTGTTCCTTGCAGATCAACCTTTGCTTATAATCTTAATTAAGAGGGAAAATGAAAAGCACTTCAGGCTCGTGGGTCCACCTAGACTGTCCTGGCTACTTAGTCAGCAGCTTTAAGTGCTAACAGAACCGTTATGTACTGGTCCAGTTCCTCTGACCAGGCTCTGCCTGTTGGTTTTATGGCAGCCCTCAGTGGATTTGTTCATCCAGTGCTAAACTAGCACTGGCAGCTTCTGTCCTGGAAACAACGGAGCAGTGGAGCAAAACACAACGCAAATCCTCCCTGGTGTTTGCAATTTTTACTTTGTGGGTTTTTAACTATTTGGTCCTCCAAATACTGGAAGGCCAAAGCCTCACAGGATTGAACCCGGTCGAAAGAACTGGGCTCAGAAGGAAATGAGATGAGGCAATTACTTTGGTATCATCCGCTGTCTAAATCTTGCAGCTTTCAGCCAGAAGGTTGAATTTGTTCTCTGCTTGGCTCAATTCTTGCTTGTTTGTTTGTTTTAGGCAGTCGATTACGAGATGAACAGAGCTTTCATGCTGACGGTGATGGTATCAAACCAAGCTCCCCTGGCCAGTGGAATCCAGATGTCCTTCCAGTCGACAGCAGGAGTCACCATTTCGGTTACAGATGTCAACGAAGCGCCGTATTTCCCAACGAACCACAAGCTGATCAGACTGGAGGAAGGGGTGCCCACAGGGACGGTCCTGACAACGTTTTCTGCTGTGGATCCTGATCGCTTCATGCAGCAAGCAGTAAGGTGGGAGACCAGGCAGCCACAGGAGCTCATGTACACGAGGGGAATTTCAGCAAGAGCTGAAATCGAATTTGTGAACTAACTGAAGTGGTATCAGTTAAATACCTGGCAGGTACTTGCAGCCCCAGTCGTGTGCTTGCAGAACACCCCACAAGCTGGTGAACATCTGATCCTCCCTCTAAGAGCCAGGCTCTGGTCCAGAAGGGCAGGTAGAATGGGATCCTGTGTTACCAGATGGCAAAAGGGCAGTTCTCATCTTCCTGTGACACCAGTCACTAGCAGGGGTCCCTGTGTCAGTACAGAGACAGGGATCAAGGCTACATTTTATGAAATGTTTTTTCACTGCCTTGTCATAAAATTGTTGACCTATGTTGATTTTGCACTTTGTAAACACAATATGGGAAAAGACAGCTTTGTTATTTCTGTTTTACGGAGGGGAAACTGAGGCACAGAAGGGGCTAGGGCTAAATTTCCAGATGAAGTGACTGGGATTTTTCATTATGCCTGGTGTTGCTTATGGAGGCTTTAGCTTCAGCCTGTCTTTAAAAGCACAGTGTGAGCATACTATGTGACCACAGCAGAGGCCTCTTAAACCTACATCAGTTGTGACATTTTGTGTCAGGAAGAGTTTGAAATATTTCACCTGCCACTGCACTGTCTGGTCTAGAAAATGATTGTTTATTCACTGCCTCGTCTCATTGTCTTTAGACAGGTATTGCGTCTTCTAAGGAGAGAGACCCTCCTAACTAACAAGCCAGTTTTTCTTTTATTCTTGAAATATTGCCCTTTGAAGAGTCTTTATTTCCCTGAAGTCCATAGGAAGTCTGGTTCTTCACAGGAGGGAGCAGTTCGTTTCTGGCTGAATGCTCCCCTGATCCGGAGGTGGTCGGTCTGTAACCCCGAATGAGCATCCACCATTTCAGGGGGTAGGACTGACTCTGCTGAGCCCTTCCTGGGATAGCACAGTGCCTGTACAGGCTCTTGTAAGACTTGCTGTAAATACGAACAGCAAATTACTTGAGCTGATTTTTCGCAGTGCTCCCAGGACACATGTTTTGTGAATCCAGGAGTGCTTTGTTTCCAAACAAAAGCACAGTCTCTCTTACCCTCTTTTCATCAGGGCAGCCTGATGCCAAGGCTTTGCAAGAGGCAGCAGGATGCTGCTAGGGTCCTGTAGCTATCCAAAGGTACTTTGTTTTTCCTTCATCATTGGCACTGGTAAATTAGGAAAAAAAAGATACCCTAAAAGCTAAGCCTATGGATCCATGGTGAGCAGTTCTCAGAGAGCTGGTCCAGCTGTTATAGCCTTGCACACTGTTGTCAGAGCTGTGCTTTAAATAGTCTTTGATAAAGTGGAGTTTTTACAAATACAAGGTAAGGAAGCAGGAGCATCTCCAGTAAGGCACAGCTTGGCATGGCCAATGTCACACCTCAAGTTATCCTCATTAGCCACAGATGCATTCACAAAGCCAGCTTTGAAACTGGATCCCTGGTCATTTAGCAGTGAAAGGGCAAGAGACTTACAGCAATGATATTAAAAAGAAATGAAAACATCCCAAAGAGTCTAGCTCCATGAAATGTAATTCTTTCCTTTGGCAGGGGCTTGTGCAGCTGTGCTGTTGCTTTCCTGCTCACATGGATTCACACAGCTCAAGTTTCACTTTGAGTTTCAGCTTCAAACAGCCCATTTCTGGAAATGGTTACTCACCAGCAGCTGGAGGTTCTCCTGCTTGCATATATAAAGACCAAAAAAAATAATATCAAACTATCAGCAGGTCTGAGTTACTCATAAAATAAGCTCATCTTTCGTGTGCTTATTTCAGTGATTTATAGCTTGGCCATTTATTAGCTTCCAGTTGAACCACAAGTGATAAGTGTCCATCTCAACTCAAGCTTTATAAAACAGAGGTAGGAATCCAAAGCAAGGAAGAAAATGGAAGCAAGAAAGCAAGTGAGAAAGGTAAATAGAACATGTTGGTCCAGAAAGTAGATTGTCTCTACTCTCTGGTCCCACAGAAGGCTTCTCTTTTGTGCTTTTGGACTTTGTTGATCCTGAGATCACTGGTATCAAATAAGGGCTCTGTCCTCATGCATCTGTTCTTGCTCATAGCCCCACGTTGCTGCCCATGGGGAGCACTCTTACTAATGTGCCCCTCGGCCCTTCCAGCCATGTCCTTGTTGCTGTTCTCTGCAAACGTCCCTTGTGCATAGCACCACCTCACCCACTGTATCAAAGCCATATAAAATACTTCAGGAGAGGCTTCAGCCTTTGGTCCATGCCTTAATAGAGCTGTGAGTTCCCGCTATACTCCTGAGGATGTGATTCTGATACGAAGGAGTGGCATGGCCAAAACAGTGTTTAACACATCTGAAAACCGCTGTTCTTCCCAAGTGGTATTTCCCAACCTGTTGTTTATTTGTGAGCAGCAGAAAACGGGAATGTCCATGGATTTAGAGCACAAGCCATTTTAGGAAGAGCAATATAAGAGAAAGAGCAGGAATCTGTCCTCTAACTCAGGCAAACATATGCAGTGGTCATTGCAGACCCCGTTTCTTCTTGGCTGCAAAGTCCTCAGGCTACATCCACTCCCAGTTGGAGGAAGCTGGCGTGTAAGTGGCACTTAGCAGAAAGGAAAACGTTTAAAATGAAAGAAATAGAAAAATTGAATAATTGTGGAGGTCAAAAACCGGATACTCAATTAGCATTTTGTTTGTCAACAAAACCAGTTATCTAAAGGTCCTTTGAATCATGGGTCAGGAGTCCAGAAAAACCTTATTTCAAGCAATATTAAGGATATGTCAGTGAAAAGACTGCCATGTATTTATTTCCTTTCTCTGTAGATACTCTAAGCTGTCAGATCCTGCAAACTGGCTGAACATTAATGCCACAAATGGTCAGATCACTACTGCTGCTGTCCTTGATCGAGAGTCAGACTACATTAAGAATAATGTCTACGAGGCCACATTCTTGGCGGCTGACAACGGTGAGCCCAGGCTTCACATTGTTCATGCTTCAATAAGACTCTAATGTGATGCATTAAGAGAAATGATGCCCTGACAGAGTTGTCAGTATAAGTTATCTTTTCCCCAGGTTTTTATGGTCAAAAATGTGAAAGTGGGATGGGAAATTGCTGGAGTAAATTAAATGTGCACAGTATACAGAGAGTGTTATTAAGGGAAAGGGAGGGCAAATGGAAAATCGATTTGGGGAGTTCAGTGTAGTGGTGTAGCCTGAACTTAAAAAAATATCAAAGGGATGTGATCTCCAAGGGCTGTTGAACACAGTGGTCCTGGTAATCGTCCCAAAGGCACTGATCAGAGCATTCAGGAAGCCTTCCACTGGGAAACCAGAAATAATTGCAGGGGATGGCAGGAGGGTATTAAAAATAAGCCAATCCATTGAACTGCTGTGGCTTTCATGAAAGGTGTCTGTCTGTCATCAGTGCTAGTCTCTCTCTGTCTGTTACCATTTCTGAAATGTCCAGCCATCATCAGAGCATCTGGATGCTGGTGTACTTTATTATCAAAGTCGCTGAGACCAATACAGATCTTCTCACGGAGAAGTTAAGGTTTGATCTTCTCTACTCATTAAAGATCACACAGCACTTTTGGCCAAATTAGCACTGTGAACCTCAGCGCTGGCCTCACTCAAGGGCAAGCAGCCCATTGCTGCTGCAGCAGCTTCCCTGGGCAAGCAGAAGGCCTTCTTCCCCCTCTCCCATCCTCGCCTTTCCCCTCAGGGTGCTGGATGCTCAAACCGAACCTGAGTTATGCTTCAGCAACAGAATTAAGTCTAGGCTTGGCTGTGGGCACCTAAGTGTGTTGTTCATACCCTGTAGGTGCTTCAGGCTGGTTTCTGCGTTAGCTGTTGCCATCCCTCAGGCTGGTGGATGCTGTCTGCTATAAGTAGATACGGGGATGCTTTCAGGGCTAACAAAATCTTTGTTGGTTGGGATTTTCCAATTTCATTGCAACCTGAGTCACAGGGGCAAGGCAAAGTCACAGAAGAGTTTGGGTGCTAAGCAGCAGTACCAAGCAGCAAATTTTACTCCATCTTGGTGCCATCAGTGGTTGGGCTGGTGTGGGCCCATCCTAACCTTCTTCCCTGTGAAGGCAGCTGGGGCAGTGAAATCCAAAATAGCCCCATGAGTTCTGGCAGCGTTTGTCTGCGAGATTCGCAGGGCAAAATGGATCAAATGAGTTGGCTGAGGCTATACACAAAAGCAGTGGTAGAGCTTGAACCCATCAAATTAAAACTCAGCATCTGACCTTGCAAAGCCAGAGCATTTAGTACAAGGTGATGCGGAGTTAACCCCTTTCCCTGGATTTGGTGCTGATGCATCTCAACATCAGCACCTCCACATCCATCATTCAGCAGCTCAGAAAGTGAGGACCTAGATAGATCTCTTATTCTGAAAAATTAATCTATCACTGGTATATTGCAGCTGTTAAAATGCACATAAAGCAACACCTTATTTAAAATTCTGTCTGGAGTGCTTAGGATAACAGCAAAAGTTTCATCTAGACTAATAGACACTTTTCACATTTCTCCCAAGTTCTAGCTTCTCCGGCACCATGTACTCATCAAAGAAAGGCTTTGGTTTGGGTGTTTTGGTGGGGATTTTTCTTTCTTTCTTGCAGCAGAAGCATCTTGTTTCCTCAAGTTCTTTTTGCTATTTTCAGTGCGTGATAAGCAGTTTAGCCAAATACTCCCTGGAATACAGCAGTTAAGTGTAGAGGTAGCAGTGGTATGTTCCCTTTAAAAATATATATATATATATATATATATATTCTCGTTACTATGTCAATCTTAATTCCAGGCAATGAACCAATTTCTCCACTGAAGCCAGTAGCACTGTGCTAGTTTACATCTCTTAGGCATAAAGTCCAAGGATCCCTTGTAATACATCAGTACCTGCTCTGTCCACACCTTTGCTCTCTCCACATAACAGCTGAAATTATGCAAAATGTTACTTGGTTTGCAATAATTGGACATAATTTTTTTTTTTTAATTTTTATTTTTCCTGAGCCTGGCCCAGAACTGCCCTCAGGAACACAAAGAGCCAAAAATACCCAGAACCTGAGCACAGCGATACCCAGATACCCACACAAAACTGCATTTGTATGTGAAGAGATTGCAGGGTATTTCAGCCACATGCAAGTTAGTGATTCTCAGGACTGCCAGTTTGCTTTCAACCTATCTCAGAAGCTGTGGATGTGTGGGGGCCTTGCATTCATCCCAGAAGATACTCTAGGCAACATGAAAATAGTGCAATCACTTTTCTTGGTCCCAGAAGTCTCTTTTCTTGTTCAGCCCCGGTATCCTGGTGAGCTGTCTGTCTCTCCAGAAACTTTCAAGGCTGATCAAAGACATTGTTTTAGAGGGAGACCTACCCAGTGCTTACAAGATGAAAGGGTGAGATCAATGAGTGAAGAGCTAATGTAGGAATCATGAAAGAAGGATTTCCAGGGCTCCTTCAGAGTTTTCAACGCTCCCTTAAAAAAAGGAAGCAGAAAGGAGAGGAATATAGGCAGGAAAGCCCATGGATGCAGAAGCAATGTTTGAAAGTCTAGCGAGGGGATGGTTTGTGTAGCTTTGTATCCAGCACTGGGAAGAAGAGCCAGAGTTAAAAATACAAACTTAAAAAAGAATTGCTGAAGGAAAGCTGCCTGGAAAGGGAGGCAGTGGGCAAGCCTGAGCAGAGCTGCTGGATGTATGCATGGGGAGAAAATTTAAAAATACCACACCATTTCTGGAAAGGCTCTTTTTTCATGCCAGGGAGGGCCTTACTTTGGGTAACTGGTCACCAGTCAGCCAAATGTGGCTCTTCACCAGCAAGAGATTGGAGGACCAAAACTGTTGTGCTGTAGCATCCCCGGTGGTTGGGACAAACGTAGAGATGCTGAAGAACCCTATACTGGGACGTACTGTTGCTGCCATGGATTAGTAGCAGCCCAACATGTTTGGTGATGGTTGGCTCACTCTGTAGGCTTTGAGCAAGGACCTTTCACTAAAGCTAGGACTTACTGTGAGATGGGCTGTAGAGGTGGACCATCTTTGAAGCAGCGTAGTGGTCTGCTAATCTACAAACTGGCTAGCCAGTGCCACAGTAAATGTTAACTAAAGGATTACACCATTTATTTTTTTCTTTCAAGCCCTCTTCTTCCTCCTTTTAGCTATTTTTTCCAATGTTTTTTTCCTCTTCAGAGCAACAGTTACCAAAATTTACACTAACAGTCTGGCGTCACCTCCTTGTATTTTTAGAATTTGACTAAAGACATTGCTGTAGGCTACAAATCTGCAGAGCTGAACATCCACGTTCTGCTGGAGCAAAAAAACAGCACCATTAGGAGGCTTGGGGAAGTTTAATAATGCCTCTTAAAGCAAGGGACCATGAAAGTGCAGCATGTCCCTAGTAAGGTCCAAGGAGGGAGGGAAAAAATCCTGATTTATCAAAATTGGAAGGCAGAGAGTGGGTTGGCCCATGGTGTTGTTGTACCCGCTGCTTCCCAGGTGATGGTCATCGGTCCTTGTTCAGCTCTGCCTCTCCCGCTCAGGTATACCCCCAGCCAGCGGCACTGGCACGCTGCAGATCTACCTAATCGACATCAACGATAACGCTCCTGAGCTCCTGCCAAAGGAGGCACAGATCTGTGAAAAGCCAAACCTGAATGTCATCAACATAACAGCCGCAGATGCTGACATCGATCCAAACGTTGGGCCCTTTGTCTTCGAGCTGCCAAGTGTGCCATCTGCGGTGAGGAAGAACTGGACCATAACACGGCTGAATGGTAAATGGGGCAGGCAATCCTGAGGACATTTGGACTCTGATTTGCTAATGAGGCCACGTGTGGTTTCAAACTTCCAAACTTTCCTACTTTTTTATCTGATTTTTATTTTTTAAAGCACATTATAGCTGACATTATAGACAAGATAGTTAATCAGAAATGATTTGTATCAGACCTGCAGCATAACTCTAAGAGCCTTGGCACTTGGCTTTTTTTAATGCAGTTCATAATTATGAACGGTTATCAGTACTGAACAGAGTATAAATCATCCATAATGGCCAAGGGGAAAAAAGCTATTATCAGTCTTCCTTATGTTCCAGTGTAATTGTCATAAGCCACAATCAGGATCAATGTTCATTTCTCTGACCATAATTGCATAAAGGCAGCCTTTTAATTTACCATGGAACCAGGAGGGCTAGGTAAGTGTGAAGATTACCAGTATGTGAAGGATTTTTATATTGCAGCATGCAACCACAATTGGCCCTAATTGCTTCTCTGATTGGTAGTTTCAGCAGAGGATTGAAAACATCCTGGAGCCTCGGGCTGGTTTTGTCTTCAAAGCTGCTCCCTCTCGCCGAGGTCTGGCACCTTCTGCCAGCCTTGTGCCCTTGTGGTTTGGGGCTGAGCCCCCAGCTCTGGTGCTGCAATGGGAAGGAACACAAGGAGGATTACATGGCTGAGCATGTCCTCGATGGGTTTTGGGCTTCCCTAAAGCCCCATGGAGGGAGGGTGGGCAAGCAGAGAGCCTGCAGAGAGGCCAGGTGCAGCTCAGACCAGGGGACCACCACTCGTGCTTCATTTTTGGCATTTCCTCCCATTTTAAACGCATGCAATGGGGTTTGCAAATGGCACCAAGGTATGTTAGCGTGGTGACAGAGACACACTTTAGTTTACAAACCACAGGCTGACTGCTGACTGAGCATTGGGGCCCAGTTGTGGTATTGGCAGCCTCTTCTTCTGGACTCCATAGCCTGCTCCATCAGAGGAGCGCTGCCCGCGTGAGTACGGTTGCAGGGCTCCCCCAGTGTCTGCCATCCATCTGTCTGTCTTGGTTTCTCCAGGTGATTACGCCCAGCTCAGCTTACGAATCATGTACCTGGAAGCCGGTGTGTACGACGTGCCGATCATCGTGACGGACTCGGGAAACCCTCCCCTGTACAACACGTCCGTGATCAAAGTGAAGGTGTGCCCGTGCGATGAGAACGGCGACTGCACCACCATCGGGGCAGTAGCTGCCGCAGGACTGGGCACGGGAGCCATCATTGCCATCCTGATCTGCATCATTATTTTACTAAGTAAGTGCCGCAGGGGGTGACGCTGCTGGGAAGTGTCACATTTCCCGTCCTGTTCCCCTTGGTCCCATTATATGCTGTATTTTTCACAAGCTCCATGAAAAGGGCAGAGCTGTGAGCTTTGTGCTGCGGGTGGGGATTCATTTATCTGCATTCCAGCCTCCTTCAGTGCAGTCAGCAAAGCGAGAGCTGGACCACGGACTGCGTGTGCCAGACTTCTCTTTCTAGGACTTCCAGGAACTTTACAAATATTCGTTGCATCTGACAACATCCTGTAGGTAGTGAGTGTGATACGATTCTCCACATTCTGCAGAAAAAAAGTTGAATGACTTGTCCCCAGTCCTGTGGCAGAATGCCCCACAGATCTCGGGGCACTGCCTGTCCCTATGTGACTGTGGATTTACTGGTTCCCAGTTCCAGATGCACCACTTATGGGAGTCCAGCTGGTCCCTGCCGGAGCCAGTACACAGCTGTGATTTTCCAGTTGTTCAATGCAAAGGGAAAAAAAAAAAAAAAAAAAAAAAAAAAAAGAATGGTAGTTATTCCTATTGCTTGTAAAATTGCGAGGGATTGGAGAATCGAGGTGGATTGTTAGTGTTTGCAGAGGAAGGATCTTCCTGGTTTGTAGGGAGAGCTCAAGGGCTGGGGGTGCTGTCAGCCAAGGCAGAGGCACAGCCCTCCCGATTGCCCAGCAATGCTATTAGTCCCGGGCTTTCATGAGCATTGCCAATAACCATGTGTGCGCACATTTAAAAATAAAAATGATATCATTATAACTTCAAGCAGGAGTTGGCACAGTAGGGATAGATAAAAATGAGCGCTGAAATGAACAATGAGGTAAATATTCATCAAGAAACACAGGATGAAACCATGGGACTCCCATTAAAGCTAATGGGAGTTATGGTGTTAAATCACATTTAATTTTTACCCCCAATGTGTTTAAACAGAGAACAGACAGAGCAACGTATGCTACAAATGTCACCTAATGCAGATACGATATGGTACATTAAGAGAATGGGTCATCTCTGGGCAAACATCCACCCTCCTGGGCCAGCGATGGAATACACAGTCATATAATTGATTTACCCTACCAGTCTGGAGAGGGAGCAGCAAAGCTGGTGCCTGTGGCTGTGCAGCCCCCCAACTCCTCGTCCAGCCCATCCAAGCAGGTGCAGACATCCCCGTGCACAGCTCTGATGCACGATTTCTGCCCTTTCTTGGATGTGGGGTCCCAGCAGCGACATGTTTGAGGTTGTCCCCTTCACCATGCACGTTTGTTGTGAATGCGGGCACCTGCAATTACACACCTTGAAAAAGGAGTGGCTTTCATCAGTTCCCAACACGTTTTCTACAGCAGGGCTTGCAGGCATGCTTATGTGCCTATGCACTGATGCTCTGCAGGCTTCACCACCCCATGGAAGATCAGTTCCTAACTCTAAGGATGAGGGCACGGGAAAAGTTTGCACCACAGGTCCCAGAGACGATAAAACACAGGACTTCTTTTTGCTTCTCTTGTTTAAATCCAGTCCTAAAATATGATTTAAGCAGTTGAAAATCCTATTGACTGAAATTAACATCAGCTGAAGGACGTTTGATTTAAGAGATTCCTCTTCTCATTCGCAGATACATTATCCCTTTTTAAATTATGGGTTTTATTACAAAAGCTTATTTTTACATTCATTGTAATTCTAATTGACTTTTTTTTTATCTTCAAGAGCTGCAAAGCACTGTATCAGTGATGAAAAATGTAATTTGCGATGAACGGAGTTTTTCAGCTACATCCTTCTAGTGTTTTGCCGCCTTTGTATCTATTTTATATCGTGACCTCTGAACAAAAGCCTGCAAAAAGGCAGATAGGACTTTTTTTTGTGCTATTTGTCCATTTTAGAGTCAGCAGGTCAAAGTTTGATGGCTTTAAAAGAAAGGAGCAGCAAGGGGACAGATCTGAGGTTGCTCAGGTGAAGGAAGTTTCTGCCTTTACCTTTGCTCAAAGGTTTTTTCTTTTTCCTAATACCTGATGTATTAGCTGCACGAATAACACATTTAGGAGAAGAGCAATGCAATAAAAAATTGTGAAGGGTGAAGACAATAGATTTCAAGAAAAACTACATGCAGAGTGAAAATGGGTCTAACAGCAGTAATAGCACTTCCCATTCTGCAGAGTGAATAAAAGGAAGGAGAGTGCACTACATCCGCTATTGACACTTTGAAGGTCTTGGTTTTTTTCAAGGTAGCTGTAAAGGCGTTAATGGCACAGTTTTTTCCACAAGTGCATGAAAAAGTAGCATTTGAAAAAAATAAAGGGAAAAAAAAACTGGTAACCATTATAATATTGTCTTTGTGGACTAGGCAGGTATCTTGTTGTGAGAGACTTGAAAAGGAAAGACGAGAAAAGGACTTCAATAGTCTGCTAAATAGCTGAGGTTTTATATTGCAGATAAGAGTTACATTTTCTTCCCTTTTTCTTTTTTGTCTCCTGAATAGATCTAGGATAAGCATTAAAGAAATGCTGAACTATCTGAAAACAATTCTGTTAGCTAGCAGGCAAGGATGGCAGCCAGTTGGCACACAATGGCGGTAATTAGCTGTCCAGTCCTCTTCTGCTCTCTTCAGTGAATTCCTGTTGGGTATAAACGCTTCGGTGCTGGGAGGAAAAACTCAGATCCACCTAAACCACCTCCCCCTGTGGCGGGGGCTGCCAGCTGGGCTGCCCGCCTGAGCCCCCACGGTCCAGGAGGCGCCGAGCTGCTCCCCTCTGCTTGCCCTACGAGCTCCAGGAGGAGGCAAGGGGAAATAAAATATGGGATGGTGGGAAACAGCAGCTGCTTGTTCTCCTCATGCAGCTAACAGCACAGTGATGGCCTGGGATCTTCCATCTTACTTGGGTTTCCTTGTGTTGGCTGCATTGATTTGGCATGGTTGAGGTTAACCCCGGTGAGATGAAGCCAAGCCACCCATTCCCAGCTACACTGTCTGTCCGTCTCTCCCTTCTCCTGCTGATTGCCAGCACCTCAGCTCTCATGTGGAATGGAGGGGAAAGCAGACACCAGGAGGTGTAGCTGCAGTTTTTGTTGCATTTCTTACAGCTACAGAGGATGAGAATGAAAGCTAGCGACTCAAGTTCTTGGAGAAGATGAGGTCTGGTTGCTTTACATTAGTGGAATGTAAAGTTCCCAAAGCAACTTACATGGAGGAAGTCTTATGGAGCCCACAGCCTGTGGGCCGTGGCCATCTGAAGAAGGTGGTTACGGAGCAGGGAGCCAGCTCTCTTTGGGTAAAGCTGTTAAAGCTGAGAAAACTTTCTCAAGATGCAAGTGTTCATTTCTCTCTGTTACTGTACTGAGAGATTAGCCAGGGCCTGGCACGCAAATGCTGATGGCTGAAGAGGTTTGCTGTGTGATACCAGATTTGCTCTCCCTTCTGCAAAGCTGAGAGGGTTTCCCGTGATCTTAGATCTGCTTTGCAAGTCGATGGTAAAATGCATATGCTCATGCCTGGCTAATATGATTTTAGAAGTTTAGAATGCCACCCTCACTTACCAAAGAAGAATATGAGTGAGTATAAATCAAATTACACAACCTGGTGTTACCAAACCTCCCCAAATCAGTCTTGCTTAGCAAACTGCAGACAGCTCAGCAGGATGACTGCCAAGGCCAGGGCTCACAACCCGAGCTGACATCAGTGTGCACGCTGGCAAGACCACCACTAGTGTAAAGGTGCTGTTCATTTGCCTGTACCTGTTTGCTTCTCAGCAGCTCTGCAACTCTCTTTCCTTTGTTTTTATTTTATGCTTCTTGTAGAAAACTCAGGATTTAGATCAAATGTCTTCAGAAAGCTGCTGTTTTCACACTTGCCGTTTGCTTTTCCTTTGATTGTGTGTTTTACTTCTGATAAACATCAGCTCAATCAGCATTCGTGATGGAGCTTAAAGAACTGTTTGGAGGAGGCCTGTCATAGCATTTACAGCTCTCACTGATCTCTCCCTTATAAATTAGAACATGCAAGAGGATAACATTTTTTTCCTCTTACTAGCAGTCAGTGAGGTTTCTTCCCCAAACTCATCGTGGTCTGCAATCTACTGTAAATTGCAACATATGCAGTTCATTCAACATTTGTTCAGCACACGCTGACATGTGCAGAGGATTCTTGCATGGGAAATTATTCAAAATATCATTAGCCTTTAATGTCAGTGTATCCTTTGTCTTCATAAAATGGGGCTGCTACTCCAAAAGGGGTATTTATTCCCTCACCTGGTGGCTGCATAAACCCAGGGGACGTGCCTCTCAGCTAGCAGCCAGCCTCTTCCACAGCAGAAGAGCACAGGCGAGGTGTTAGGAGGTGCCACCACACTCTGACCCATGCAGCCTGGGACATCCCGGCTCACCCAGCTCCTTCACTCTTACAGCCATGGTGCTGCTCTTCGTGGTGTGGATGAAACGCCGGGAGAAGGAGCGCCACACCAAGCAGCTCCTGATCGACCCCGAGGATGACGTGAGGGACAACATCCTGAAGTACGACGAAGAGGGAGGTGGAGAAGAAGATCAGGTGAGAAGGTCTTGGCCAGAGTAGCTGTGCAATATCTACTCTCAAAAAAAAGCAGAAACCACATCGTTTTCACTAGTGTATTTGCAAAGGGCTGTATCCCCTCTTGTTTATGCCCGGGCAGCATTATTGGCTTCCCCAGCATGGTGTGGGCATCGATGAGAGCCACCCTAGGGCCAGGGCTTTCACCATGTTTCTGGGACATGCTCCTGTGTAAGCAGTACCATGCCAGGAGCACGGTGCCACATGGATTTTGCTATCCCCAGCCCAGCTTCCTGGGGAGGGGTTATAAATCAATCCATAGACACTCATGTTCAAGCAATATTTCTGCTGTTTTGGTCATTAAAGGCATGTATTTTCCCATACCCCTTCAGAGATCTCCGGAAAAGCAACTACTGGCTACCGCCCACCCCAGCCCTGTGGCTGGAGGCACCTGCCTTGGTGTGCTTGAGCATAAAGCTTTTTTACTTCCCCTGTACTTTCTTAATTGTCCCTGGTGTGCCTTTAATTTCTTCTAATTTCTGGACATGGTTTGTGAGAAATGTCTAAATACATTTGGGGATTTTCTTTCTCACCACAGAGCTTATAATGGCAAAGCTTTGCTGGGGGACAGAGCCCTCAGCCACGTCTGCCCGAACGTGTCAGCTCTTCTGTAGTGGCTTCTTATTACAGACAGCACTGCTGATGTGACATGTAGACATCCCTGGCCTGCACTCTGGGGATGTGCTGTCCCTCTGCTACAGATGTATTTCCTTGGCTAAAATTCCAAAGTTTGGCCTCTTGTGTTTAGGTCACTGTTTTTTTATTTTATTCCCACCTAACAGAAGAGCCCAGGACACTCTCAAATATTTTGTTCATGCAAATGATGTCTCTGCATCATGTCACAGTTTCATTTTTGCTTGCTGAAATGGACCACGTAGTAGTCAGGGCTGGTGTCCAGGAGTCCCGAGGTCAGCGGCTGGCGCTGACTGAGGCACTGCAGCACGTCCTGCCCTGGAGGTCCCCCAGCACCCAAAAGCAAGCGAGGGAGCACAGTGAGAGCCACCACAGGGATCCGAGGCAGGGACTTTGCCCAAAATTTGTAAAGTTCTTATTCAACAGAAAAATCCTTGCAATTAGCATTTCTTTTTTCTTGTCACTGACAAGATATTTATAAATATTGCTCCTGGAGATTCAATCATCCTCATCTGAGCACAAGAACAGTTTTACCAGTAGAACAAAGTACTGTTATAAACATTCAGACTCGCTGAAGTATCTGGTTTCAGGCAACTACACTGTAAGCTTAAATATTTTAGAAAGGATTCGTTAAAAATAACAGCAGAGGAAAAGCAGCAAAACACCATTACCTACATGAATACATTTTTAATGGAATATTACCTGGTTCTCATTCCCTGATAGAAACCTATTCTGCTGGGATTTTTCACAAGCAGAAAGAACATAATTACTTTAAAAGGCCTACATGCATAAATGCAGTACACATTTTAATGTTTTTACTTCTGTACAAATGTAATTGCAATAATATGTCTACCAACACCATGTATTTACATTATATTATGTATTTCATCCAAAATTTATGCACATATCTAGGCACATGCAAACCAAAGCTAATTTTTTATCCCAAAGATTTGGACACTGTGTTAAATATTCAAAAGGTATTTAAATATTTGATTTAACTTATGTTTTAAGATACAGTCTTATGAAGTCAATTTTATGAGCTACTCAGAGGTCAGGTTCATCTGTAATTTAGATGGAGGTGCTACATACCCAGGAACAAGATTTGGCATCGAACTTGAGCTGAGAAAAGATTAGCCTCCTCAACTTCTTTGTATGTTGATGCAATGTCAGGAGCGTAGGTGATCTGAATGAAAAACCTTGGTTTCACTTCGTGCCTTTCCATTTGTCACAGGATTATGATTTAAGCCAGCTCCAGCAGCCAGAGACCATGGATCACGTGCTGAACAAGGCACCTGGAGTCAGAAGGGTGGATGAGAGGCCTATTGGTGCTGAACCGCAGTATCCTATAAGACCAGTAATCCCACATCCCGGGGATATTGGTGACTTTATAAATGAGGTATGTTCTTAAGGGTGTCCTGTGTCACATCTTAAAAGCTTGAGCAGCCAGCTAGCATCAGCTGTGTAACATTTTCCTGGCTGTTTTATGGACCAAATGATGCTATTCCTCCCACGAGAAGTCTGATCAGAGCACAGGGAACAATTACGATGTGCAAAGGAAGCAAGACTTGGTCTAAGAAAGGCTCCAAGCCTATAAAAGCCAAAGTGCAAACAAAAACCCCGAGATTTCTGGTTTGAGGATATCAAAAACAGCACACTTTTCAGGATCTGGGCAGTAGAACCTGCTCCTGCTCTCCCTTTGACTGCTGTGAGTGCTGCAGTTGCTGTCAGTAAATACACTGCCTGGATGGGGACAGAGGAGGAATTTCCTTGCCATGTGGCTGGACAGCCGGATGATTTGCCTAAAGCCAGAAGTGCCTTTTGTGGCTCTGGACTTGCAATTATTTCACCAGTCTGTGTCTTCTCTATTTGGTCTCAAACTCAAAGAGTTTGCAGAGCACAGAGATTCATCACAGATCAGAGAGGGTTTCTTTGTTTTACCTTAGATTACTGTTCCTTTATCTACTTGTACAAATATCTATCAATTTAGCATCTCACCTCATTTTTAGTTTTAAAATGAGTGATTGAGTGGTTGCAAGCCAATCAATGCATTATTTCCTCTGAGACAAAAACCACCATCCATTCTGCAAGTCAGAAAAATAAATGTTGTGGCGATTTACTTCTATTATTATATCAATTTCCTGCTGTGCTTTTTCTCATTTTCCTCCCTAAAATGCCTTCTTCCTTTGTTCCTGCCCATCCTTCACACTCACAGTCATGCACATACATGCACTTGGAGGCTCGCTCTCATGCATGCTCTGGCTGCTGTTTGCTGCAGTAAGACGGACTCCGTCTCCCCACACTGAGGCTGGAGTTTCTGGACGTGTGAGCACAGACCAGGTTTCTTTATTGCAGGTCTATTCCATGCGGCTTTTCCCGGCACTGGGCTGCAGCAAAGCAATTCTTTTTCTCCGTATCCCAAGGCCATTTCTGGTGCTGGCCCAGACTGCTGCCCACACCACACTCGCTTAGCACAAGCTGGAGCAGCAATGCTTTTCTGCCTCCCCCGGGACCCCCTGCCCAGTGTTTCACACCCCACATCTCTGCTGGATGCAGAGCAGAGGGCGCGCGTTGTGCCCCCACTTGCTTAGATCCCCAGGAACCACCCTCCTTTAGCTTTGCTGCAGGCATCCCAACCCTCCCAGCACCCTTCCCCAGCACCATCACCATGAAACATGGGCACTAACACCGTCTCTTTGCCACCCCAAGGGCCTGCGTGCGGCGGACAACGACCCCACGGCCCCCCCCTACGATTCCCTGCTGGTCTTTGACTACGAGGGCAGCGGCTCCACAGCCGGCTCCGTCAGCTCCCTCAACTCCTCCAGCTCCGGGGACCAGGACTACGATTACCTTAACGACTGGGGCCCCAGGTTCAAGAAACTGGCGGACATGTACGGGGGAGGCGAGGAGGATTGAACTGACCTCACTTATTTAAAAAAAAAAAAAAGAGAGAGAAGAAGAAGAAGAAGAAAATAAAAACAATTAAAAACAAACCCACAGACGACAACGTTAACAGAAAGAGCCGACGCAGAAGCAAAGAACTGTACAGATGTGGCAGCTTTTTTAATTAATATCCCCTGCTGACTGTATTGTTATTTTTAGTGGTGATTTAGGAGGTTTATTTTTTTTTCCTTTTTCTTTTCATTTTTTTTTTTTTAGAATATTGAGCTGTCTCGCATGAACACTTGTCTCTGCTGCAGGTTTTTTTGTTTTTGTTTTTGTTTTTTTTTAATGTCAGCTGGGATATTGCTCGTTTATCTGCTTTATGACTAAAGAGAGTGAAAGGCACTCTGTCTTAACTTGAATTTCTTAGAACAGAAGCACTGTTTTTAAAATATATATATATATATATTTGAAAGTGCCTTTTGGTGCATGTATCAGATTCCCTTCAATCTCAGGAGTGATGAAAACAAACATACAACCATCCTGGGCAGCACTCCCTGTGACCCTAAGCCAGTTCTAGCTGGGAAGGAGTTAACAAAAAGGAACTGTGGAGATTGTTTCTTTTTTGCCTTTTTTTTTTTTTTTTTTTAAGGGGGTGACTCACTCTGGGGTGGAGAGGATGGGGGGCGGGAGGGGGAGATGTTTTGAGTGGAAATCTTAACAGCCATCTTTAAGCCTCAGCAGGTGGTGAACTAGTCATCATGTTGTATATAATTCAGTGTTATCAGATGCAAAATACCGACTAGGGGGCTCTGCTGTAACCTGGTCACACTCAATGTAGCTGCATAGAACTATAGCATTGATAAAGCCTTTGGTTATTGCCACAGAACTCTCCAACAGCCCTTGCCTAAACCCTACAAGTAAATCGTGAAATGACCAAAGGCCCATTTGTTTGTTTTTATGCTATCGGCGTGTTTTGGCTCCCACGAGTGGTGTAAATACCGGCTGGGTTACGTGGTGCCGTCCCACGTCTCCAGTGGTGCCGTAGGCACGAAGCCGATGCTCTTTTGCCTCTCACGTGTCTCTGCCCCACTGCAGGCTGGGGCACGCGATGGGCAGAAGCCGGCGCTCAGCACTTTTGCCATCCGTAAGTATGGAGCTAGCCTAGAACGACATTAATGCCTTGGAGCATCAGTAGCCAAAGCTCAACAGCATCATGTAACTCAGCTAATGTGTGTCCTTTATATTCGATGGGTAGGCGCTGCTATCTGTAGTAAATGTTTTTTTTGGAGAAGAAGTGCAACGAGGGCCTGTTAAGTATCTTGTGGTTAATATGCTCGAGCATTGCCAAGCAAGCAAGAGGTTTTGCAGCATCCAGGCATAATTCAACATCAGTATTATAAATGGTAGCATACTACCTAGTTTATATGTAGGGTCAGTTTAACCAATAACAAATAGTTATTAGCTTTTTTTATTACATTTTTCCTTTACTGATTTGGACTAGTGGGTTTCTGTCTAATGTTTGTAAAATGATTTAGACTGCATGGATGTGTAATATAAACCACATTTAATGGATTATGAGCCACTTAATTAATGTGCTATGAAATCTTGGATTACCTGTGTTTTATATTCTGCAGACGATTTTGCAGTGGGTTCGCTAAAAATTGTAAAAGTGCTTAGATATATTTTCATTTAAATCCAAGAATGTGCACAGTACTGGAAGGTGATTATCCAGGGGATAATCATGCTTTTTTGATATCTTGATTAATTCTCAAGTTGAATGCTAAGAGTTAAACGGGGGGGCGGGGGGAGCGAGCGCGTGCACGCGAGAGAGCGCGAGAATGAGAAGAAGAGAGCTTGTGGTAACGAGTGGACGTTGTTTCAGAGGGTATACTAGGCTGCAAGATCGTCTCTATAGATTTTTGAAATGCTCCTAGTGCATTTTATATTTCACTGTATCATATTTTCTATAAAATGCAATTTCTGTAAATTAACGAGCATTTGAAATGTGTCTTGTATGAAGTGGAATGTGGTAAAAGTCTGCCCAAGGGGACTCAAACCGTTACCAGTATGTTATTAATTACCGAGGGTGCGATCTTTCTTTTTCTCTTGGTCGGTCAGTTAGCCGCCCGGTCACTTTGTCCTTTCACTGCCCAGAGAGCAAACACACGCTCAGATGAGTTTCTGGAGGAGCCCCGGGGGCGATGGATGGCTCAGCCCCGGCAGACCCGGGAGCGGTGGCCACAGCCAGGCGAGGACATGGCTGCAAGCAGCACGCGCCCCGTCCTCATGAAGGGCGGCCTTTGCAGGTTTCTATTCAAGAGCTGGGCACTCGGTTGTCTCATGAAACCACCATGAAGGTCTTGGCATGCTTCTGCCGTGAGCCTTCCCCTCCTCCTGGCCGCCCTCATCCCCCCCCCAGCCTCCGGCAGGCCTGGCAGCTCCCAGCCTCCAGCTGCTGGGGTCCCCCTGAGCCTTTGGCCTCCCCCTTCTGCTGCCTCAGGCCTTCCACTTGTCTGCAGGCTGGCACCAACTTCAGTGTGCTCCTCCTCTGAAGCCACCCGGCCACAGCAGCAGCATAATAAATAACAATTCCCCAGTCACGGCCTTGCTTTGTGCCCATCACCATAACCTCACCACCAGGTGAAGGAGGCAGACAGAGGCCAGGAGGAGATGATGGCACCCGCTTCCCACAGCACTGCCGGCCTGGATGCCGAGCCGTGCGGACACCTGGCTATATCAGCAGGAGCCGAACACGGGCTCCAGAGCACCTGGTGCTTGATGCCTGGCGTGCTGTTGGCCATGGCGATGGCCTACAGGTTGTGGTGTGTGCCCAGGGGCCATACCCAGGGCTGCAGGGGGCAGCCGCCCCCCTAGCACTGCAGACAGGAGCAGCTCCCTCCCCAGCCAGGAGGGAGACGCTGTCAGACTTCAGCTTGTCTAAACAGTTCAGGATTTTAAGAACATTTTATGCAACCTAAGTCAAACAAAACTGTCGGAGTGATTAAAAATAAATCAGCCTGCTTCCATTGGAAACTTTTCTTTAAAAATCAGCGGATATTTTTCTGCAGCATTTGCAATCCAGACATTCCAACCCCATAAGCCTATAAATCAAACCAACTAGTTCATTATCTTTTGACCCAGTTCTGCTCAGTCTCCCTCCATAGGACAACCTCCTCCTGCTCCTCCTTCTTCTCCTCCTCCTCCTCCTCCCCGCACCCTCTACACTCACCTTTGCAGTCCCACAAACGTGGCCGCAGGGTCCGGCCCCTTTCCTCGCGGTGGAACAGGCAGAAGGTAAGCGAGCAGCACATCGAGCAATGAAAATAGAACACTTTTGCAAAGCTTTTTGCTTGTTAATATGAATTACACTTTATAACCAGCTAAGATAATGCAGTATACATTAATCTGAGGGGTCCCGTGGAAGAAGTGGCATTGCCATTCACGGCTGGAGGTGGCTGCAGCTTACCAGGAGCTGAGGGGGGGAAACACCAACTTTCCCTAAACTTACAGGCTTTTCTTACAGGCCACACAAGGTTATTCTCTGAATAAATAAATTGAAGCACCAACTTCAAGAAACTATTGAAATAAGTGGCGCCCACACATTGGAGCCCCACTTTTTGCCCACCACGAGGCGGCGGGGGAAAGAGCACTGGTTTCAGACAGATGAAGGGGAGCCCACTCCAAAAAGAGCATTTTCACACCCAATTTCCCCCCATACCCCGCACCACTGCCAGGAGCCAGTACCACAGCTCTCAGCAGTGTCTAGGGGACAGGGACAGGGACAGTGATGCTTCGTGTGGCTCCCACCTCCTCAGCATGAAGCTTACCCATCTCTGAGCCAGGACCATCCATGCCCTAGGTCCCCACTGTGCCTGCAGCCACCTGGGGCACGGCCCCTGTCTGATAATTGCACAGCCTGTAGAAAGGGAGAAGCATCTGTCACGGAAATGCTTTGCAAGGCAACAAGGAAATTCAGCAGGTAATTAATGACAGTAAATAGGCAAGTCTGTTATCGGTGTCCTAAGTGCTACTCATAGTTCTGCTTATAGTTTTGCATTTTCCTGTTTGTTTGTTTGTTTTTCCTGTTTTTGCTGGACCAGGCAATGCCATTGATGGTTGTAAGGGGGTGGTGGGGAGCTCATGTCCGTGCAGCAGTCACCTGAGCCTCTGTGGCTGGGCTTTTGGGGATACTCGGGTCCAAATTCACCCTCCAGCAGTAAGTGGGCTGTCGGAGGTGGCTGTGTCACCTGCACCCACTTGGCATAGGGTCAACGTCCAGGCGTTGGAGAACTGTGACGGGCAGGGCAGGCAGGGTCTGTACAACACAATATGCCAAGATTGCGACTTTGTTTAGTCTCAAGAAACATATTAAGGTAAAATACGGGACTTTTATTTGTGATGTCTTTTGAAGCTCTTCATTGTAAGTGTGAAAAAAAATGGGGGGAATGCTGTGTAACGATGAACATGATGTTTAAAACAGCAGCTAGACAACGTAGGTGTCTCCCACGCAAAGTTAACTCAGTTTCATGGGGAAAAAATCAAAGTTATCTCAAGTACACACAAACCCCATGCCCAACTGCTCACCATGATGTGTACATAATGTAGTTAGTGCTTGAAGCTACAAATCAAATAGGTGAAAAAAACCAACGATGACATATAGATGTATAATTGGAGCACTTTCTTTTAATTATGATTTTGCATGTTTCCTTTAACGATGGAGAAGCTGTGTAGCAGCCCGCATGACTGTGGTTGTTCTCGAGGAAGACTTCTGCTGTTCTGCTGTATTCACGCTGAAGCGCAAAAGCAGTTTGCGTCCGTTAACCGAGTTCAAAAACCATTTTTTGTAACCGTCAACAGCACAAATATTTTGTATTGTTGTTTGTACCATTTTTGTACCAAAATCAAAAGAGGGAAAAAAAAAAATAGGGAAGAAAGTAAATGTTTTCAATGTGTTTTTAGTGCCACTGCAATCTTGGTTTCCAAACTGAGTAACAGCTTTGCTGATTTATTGTGTATCAAAGCTGAACTGGCGCACTGACGCCTGGCTCCAGTGTAATAAAAATAAAGTCCCCCTTTTGAATAGTCTCACTTGCTTTTTTTTTTTTTTTAATTCCATTTCACTCTCCCCCATGCCCAGCCCATTGCATTTGCTGATGACAGACTTCCTCTTGCTGTGAGGCAAATAAGCTCAATGGCCTGGCCACAGGTTTGGGTCTGTGTGCATGGGCATCAATGGTATTTTCGGAGTCCCCAGGTGCTTCTGCACTTGTCTGGGGGCTGGCAAGTTTGCATTCCTTAAAGCAAGGAATGGCGGGCTGCTGGTCCCACAATGCTGCACACCTCTGAGCCTGTTTGGGAGCATGGGTGGTGGTGATTTCTTTTGACACCAGGTGTTTGCATTTTAGCACCTCGAGACCACGTCAAGGGGCTGGGACAAGTGGCCTCTGCCTGCCCTGTCCATCCTCCAGCATTTTCCCTATTTCATCACCCTGGGGTGAGTACGGGCCAGGAAGGATGAGCAGTTCCAGCACGGCACGGAGCTGTTGCAGGCAAGCACGTGGAAAGCAGCGTTGTCTCATTTTAATAAACATTAAGATGAATACAAATCCTGTACGTAGCTATTTACTTCCCCCCAGAGTCAACTAAGAATATTTTATTGCTGGTTTTGCTAATTCTCAAGCTGTTCTGTTTCTTAGAATTATCTTTAACTACTGAATAATGCAAGACTGTTGCATCACAAATATTAGTTTCTGCTATCTGTGGAAGTCTGTGCTCTCATCATCCTGTTATTAGGCTCTTATCTGCCTGGAGAAAGTCTTGTTCCTAAAATGATTTAGCTGCATGCGTAACTTTGACCATGAGGATAGCTTTACTAAGCTGATGAAAATGGCCACCCTCCTCTAAATCCCTTGACTTTTGTACTAAAATTAAAAATAATAACAAGTATTATTAAAGATATTATTATAGACGGGTTTGGGAACAGCTCTCCCAAGTCAGAGGCAGACACCAGAGTTCGCAATAGAATTTTGTTCAGATCAAGCCAAAGCACACAGGGTTTTGGTGAATTTCTTCCCAATAAACTAAAATAAAAACCTTTTATTTGTTATCTGGATTAAAACCCTTGAGTTATCTGGCCCTTTTTTCTCCAAAAAGGCTTTTTTAAAATAAGTTAATAGACACATTATGCAGTTTTACGTGACAATAAAATATCTACCCAAAACTCTATAATGCCATGTCACTATCAGAACAGACCCCAGGTCGGGAGAGGAGGGGTGTCAGGAGAATGAAATGCCTTTTTTTAACCACTGGCCAAACTTTTTCTGTGTTACACAAACTTTCTCTGTTCACGTGTGTGAGCCAGCGCATGTCAGCTGTGTGCTCTTACCTTGGCAGCCTCTTGGTATGCACATCACTGATATATTATTATTAATTATTACAATTATTTTATTTTATTTTATTCATGCACAAAAATCATATCGAAGGGGGCCCCACGTGCAGCTGAGTTAGGTACCAATTCCCCAGGCATGCAGGGTAAGAAGTGCTGCAGAGGAGCAAGGTGCCTGTGGGACACACGGGACATGGGACACACAGACACGGGTGGGAACCAGGCAGCTCCCCAGGCGGTGCCTTGCTCCACCCCATTAAAATACCTCCAGCATGGCTCCTAAGGCCTCAGCAGTGGCAGCGACACACCACGTGCTCACGTTAGCCAGAGCAGCAGCATTTCTCTCAGTCCTGGATAAACTGCAAGGAAATATGGAGAAGTGAGGTTAGCAAAGGGGAATGAGCCTCGCCATGCCTGCCCACCAGCACTTCAGTCCACTCACTCGGATGATGCTCACGATTTATTCACAACCACCTCGTTGCCCACTTCCAGCACATCCTGAGGGGCGCAGAGCCAATGGCCCATCAAGGACCTGAATTTCGGTGCAAGCAGAGGGTGCAGGGTGCAGAGGGGAGGCGTTGGAGCCAGGGAGCAGGGCACAGGCCCCGAGGCAGGCCACCCACACCAGTTTTCCACAGCGAACGCTTTCCCCTGATAGAGCTGTAGGAGCTCTTCTCTTCCCCCTCCCCTCTCGCGATGATTAATGTGCAGCTTCCCCGCACTCATCTCAGCACCACAGCACAATCCATCTCACCCGCTTCTTGCCTCTCCCTCCCCACCTCTCCACCTTCTTTTTTAATGAGAAAATGTTTGCGTTTTTTTGCTACGATGTTTTTGTGTTTTGTTGTGTTTTTTTTTCTGAGCAGGGAACCGGTGGTGGGCCGGTGGCTCTGAGCAATGGCTGAGGCCTCCGACAGGCCTCACCAAGGCACCAGCCTCCCCCTCACCTCCCACTCAGCCCAATTTGGATTTTTTTTCATGGTTTTGCAGAAATTCACCTGGGGGACAGCGTAGCCATGACAGGCACGCATGGCACTGCCGCCCAGCCTGCCATATAGCACACACCCAGCATGGTGCCAAGGACCTCACGCAAAGGCCAGGGCTGAAAAGTAAAAACGAATGCGATGAAGTTGCTATTGATGGGTTTTTCCTGAAAGGCCGTGGCTTGCTGTCAGGTCTGCCTCCTGGTGCCATCATCCAGCCCCTCCGGATGGAGATAAGAGGCGTGGGAAGAGGGAAGCCTGAGCTGACATCTTTCATCTGCCTCTCGGAGAGGTGGTTTTTAAGCCAGCCTAACCCCAGTGACCCCGAAGCTTTTTTTTTTTGAAAACCCTGGAAGCTTTGGCGAGCTACACTCAGTTAAGGGGGCTGGATGGGGAAAAAAAAAATCACTTTAAGCAAGGCCGTGGGCTTGCGTTAATTATCGTCCTGCTGGCTTCAGGCAGGGCCGCTTCCAGCTGCAGAGAGGGGGAATCCACCCGTCCCTCCTGCATCGTCAGACGTCCAGCCTGAAGCACACAGCTCCCCTGCCCTGTGGCCAACAGCACGACTGGGCATTGCACACATGGATAGTGGGAAAGGCCACAAAAAAAAAAAAAAAAAAAAAAAAAGGCTGAGTTAGAGCTAAGGAGATATATATATTTTTTTTTATTTTTTATTTATATATATATATTTTTAAGCCACCACAGGTTTATGCAAGAAGTCAAATAACTGCAGGGAGCATCAGCACAGGAAAAAGGCAGGACCTGTCCGTGTGGGGATGGAGCAGCCAAAGGCTGTGTCCCCCTTCTTTGTGAGCAGCATCTCAGCTCCTGTGTGTGGGATTTGGCTGCTCACAGCCAGCAACCAAGAGCCCTGCTCAGGCAGCAGGACCTGCAGCTCGTGCAGAAATTTAACCGAAAGCAGCAGCTGCCACCAAGAGCATTTGTAGTTATTAAATTGCTGGGTGCTCGCTTGTCGTTTGCACTGTTAAAAATCTGCCTCTAGATCTGGCCAAAAAAAAATAATAATAACAGAGGGATCATTCTCTATTGCTCGATGGTTGCTAAACCAAGCTGGGGCAGCTGCAGTGGCGATTCTGGGGCTGGGCAGAGACGAGCCAGCCACACCACATGGCATTTCAAAGAGCTCAAACCTACGACGGCAGCATCAGCACAGCCCCCCTGGTTTATGCTTACCCTTGCTTGGTTTTAGCCTCCCAACGCTTGCAAATATAAATCAGTGGGTTAACACTCACCCTGTGTGCAGGAGCTGCCGCGTTGTTCAAAATAGCAGTTTTCCTCGGAGAGATTAAAGTCTCTTTCTATCTGTACTGGAAGCTGCCAGAAGTGGATTGTCAAAAATCCCTGCGAAGCTGCAGGAGGAATAAGGAAGAATCCAATCTCTGTCAATATTTCCATTCTTAATAAACCAGATTTATAATATCTGAGGCCACAAGGAAGCTTTCTCACTGAGTACATAATGGCCGCGCCATTAACCTGTGCTATCTATAGCTAACTCATTACTTTATGAAGTACTTTGAGTTACCTTAGAGTACAAAAGGTGACATAACTAATCCTCTTCTGTGAAAAACATATTGATTGGAATTTAACTGCCAGGTAATACAAAGAGCATGTAAAACCTTCTGCAAAAATGCAGTTTTAGTGATCACACACAACACAGCCCCATCAGAGCAAACCAAGGGCGTCGCTGTGCAAACAAACACCAGCAAGCTCCATCCCTGGTGATGGCAGAGCCAAAACTCAAGGCAGAGCCAGATGTTGCATTAACCAGGACCAAATTTAAGCAACGTGCACCTGAAGCATCTGCCCCAGCGCTGAGCAGTATTGCTGAGCAAATCCTGTGCTTTAGGGGTTTGACATCCCATCCTGGGGCTTCATGGCACAGCCCAAATGGGGATTCCTGCAACATCCCATAAAGCTTTTCCCAGACGGGGTAAAACAGTGCCAGGTACTGCTGGGGATGCCTCATACTGCTAAGGTGGGCAGGTCTGGTGAGGTCAGTGCCGTGCAGGTCCTTTGGTTTTGGTCAAAGGCAATTTGCTGGCTGCACAAAGCGGGCCAGTATATTTTATATAGCGCTGACACCGTGTGTAACAGCCCCAGCCTTCCGGAGCATGCGCTGCATCGGATGTGCCTATGATAAGGTCGCTGAGCCACACACCTCTCAGCTGGGGCACCAGGAGGTGCAAATCAGACCTGTAACTGTACTCATCGAGGTGACGACTAACTGGCCTGTCAGCCAGCCAGTCCCCAGCCGAGGTCCTTGCACCGAGCGTGCAGGCTGCTGTACGGGGGTGCATTTATCATCTGGGCTCTCCTTTCACACCGCACTTCGAGAAGGAGCAGGTACCTTGCTTTAATATAGCACTATTGATCCTGAGAGCCTCAAACAATAACCAGCACATGATCAGAATGCAGTGTTTTCCAGGAGCAGAGCTGGAGTTGCTCTCACTGTTTTGCAGGGACAGAGAGGGATCCTGAACGGAGCCCAGCAGGGCCAGAGGATGGGCAGCAGCTCAGGGCAGGAGGGTGCCAGCCCAGGCAATGAGCAGGAGCCCAGCCCCAGTCCCAGACAGAAGGCAAAGTGTGCCACGAAGGCAAGACATTGCACTGCTCTAGTACAGTATAAAATATTTAACTTTTGAGTACATTATCAAAGTGGTTTCTTTTGACATTACATTTGTGCCCTTGTAAAAGAC